CCGAACAAGAGGATAATCGGGACTCTTAGTTTGGGTTAGTTTGTCTAAGGAAGTCGAATGATAGACTTAAAAATTCATCTCAAACAGAGAGCAATCGACTCAACAGATCTGAAAAGCGTATTTATAGTCATGAAACATGGAATTAGCGAGCCAACAATTAGAGAGATGCCAAAATTTGTTCAGCTAACGCCTTATCAGCATTCGCTATCGCTCAGTCAATATTAAAAGGTCGCAATTAATCCAACTATCTCTGATCATTGGCACCTTTTATTATACCTCTCCATTTGTGAAGGCGAGCAATGGAGGAGACTGAAAGTATATGCCGTTGGCAAGTTTGGAACTACTTTGCCTTTATTTTATACTAATTTGCTGGAGTTCTATTTAAAAAATAGGCTTTTTCGAACCCAGCGGCAATAATTCTTACTTGCATTTTATCCATTTAGACAATGCCAGAATTTCCGCTGACTGGCCGCCTCAGGATGTCAACTGGCCAAAGATTTCGGATTTCCAGTCACAGCAACAATGTCAAGAGTTAAGTCACCAGTCGTTCAATAAAGAAATAGACATGCAGCAAATGCTGACACCTCAGACTGAAAAATGTAGCGAAGTGATGGAATTCGAAAATGATCAAATACTACCCTCGCAACTTAAAGTACCAAAGTTGTGGAAGTCGCATGATCGGAAGCACTGTTCCTCACCTGCATTTCCAAGCACCATGAACATTGTGTTCAGTAAGTTAACAGTATACTCAACAACTGGCACCTAAACTCATCAGCTTCCGAATTCGTGTGCAATTTTAGCGGAATACCCTATCTTCCTTTAAAAGAGACTGACCGTCTCCTTAAAATTATCGGCTCTGAGATTAAGTATGAATAGTCGTTACTGATCAAGTAAAATCTACTTTTGGATAGAGTTATCATTCATAACCTGATGTGTACAGCTAGACTAAGGCTGAGCAATCAGGAGGATCAAGGCACGACTTGTAACAACAAGATCTGCATTGTAAATAACCACTCGGAAAATAAGTCTAGAAGAGTCTGGCTTAAGTAATGAA